ACAACTTTACTACTCCAGTAGGAAGAAGAAAGATTTTCTTCCTGACCATGAACAAACGCAGCTGATAGAAATGCAGCTCAGCCAACAAGGGGCCATCATCACCCCAACGCTCACTTTCCTCCAGTGAACTTTCATTTTTCTCTCGTTAATGACTTTCTTGTCCCACTCTCTTTTCCATAAAAGCCTTCCATTTTGCACAAACCCAGGAGTCTCTCTCTGCCTCCTAGAGGATATGCTGCTCCATTCATGAACAGTTTAATAGAGCCAATTAGATCATCAGATTTACTCAGTTGAATTTTTTTTTTTTAACAAACCAAAGGGGGAAAACTGCCAAGAAAATAAAGAGAAAGCCACGGAGGAAAAAGGGATGAATAAGACATTTTGGCACTTGGTTAAAATTTTCCATCTTAATACTAGAATTCTCCTGTCATATTCTTTTCTGGGTAACACACAACATCTTGGAACCAAAATTACTTAATATAAATCTTTATGAAATACCAAATGCATTGCAGCTTTGCCATTTTACCTGACGCTGCCTCCTTCACATCTCCTTTACAGGAGGCATCTTTTAAACAAAGCTGTGAGTGGTACCTGCATTCTGCTCACATGAACTTACAGGAGTCTGTCATACGCCTCATTCCCAGGAATGTCCCATTTCCTACTTTTTCCTTCTATTAGCCTCATTTGTCTTATTTAACTTGCTACCTCGTACGCTTCTTTGTAAGCTGACAATTTATACCTAAGACAGGGCGTAAGTTCCTATTTTTTTCTGAATGCATTTGGACACCTTATGTGAAGGATCTAGTTATGAAAGCAAAGAATTTTGGATTTATGGGAGGAAATTCTCTTTTGTGAATGAGAAAAGCATGAAACATCCCTATGACTGGACAATCTCTGCTATAGGACAGGGAGAGAAACATTCACCACCCACGGGACAGGAGGTTCCCTGAGACAGTGCTAATGCACCTGTGCGTGTGTGTGCACCTGTGCGTGAGGGCTGCACCCATCTTTGTAGCCTTGTGATAGTGACAACCAGGACCACCTGTCCTTCTCAGCAACAACCAGTGCCTTCAGCTGGTGGCTCAAAAGACACCTGATACTACTCAGGAAGAGGAAGGGAACTCTTTTGGAGTCTTTTATAGTGATCTGGAGAAAACTACCGCAAGCTGATGAGAAAAGACAAATGAGAGAAATAGCTTACATTTCTGTCTGATGTCAGTTATTAAAAACCACATAAAGGTAGGCTTCTACCATGTCAGATTTTCTCTTGACACGTGGCAGGGTATCTCTGAAATGAGAAGATAATATATAAAAGAGGGACAAGTTGTTAGACATTAAACCTATTCATGTCTTTCCTCCTAGAGTTTGGCAGAGATAAAATTAAGAAAATCAGTCCAGGTTACGACTGGTGTGCCTCCCAGGTCCCCCCTCCTCACACCCTAGCAGGGTGTACTGCCACATTCTCCATCTTTCGGATGAGGAATCTGGGTCTCAGAGCAAAAGTTCCCTCTGCGTCCGTGCGTGCGTGTGTGTGTGTGTGTGTGTGTGTGTGTGTGTGTGTGTGTATGTGTGTGTCGGGGGTCAGGGGGCCTGGGTCTAAACAGTTCTGGATTTTTCCAAAGAAAGCCCTTTTCCCATTCAACTGTGAATTAAATAAACCACCTACAAGAAATTTCAGTACAAAGAGTTTTTTATTGACATTGTAAGAAACATTGTTCTTTCTCTTTGTTATAAAAAGACTAAGTGGTTCTGAAAGCAAAAGTAGAGTCCATCTGTGGCGGGGCTGCAGCCCCGGGCTAGAGGTGGGCGCGGGTGGGCATTGCATGGGCTGCGGGCTGATCCGAGGAAGGCCCGGGGCCGGCCACGTCCAAACACTATGCCTACGATACTTAAATGTATTTACACGTGTTTCTTTTAAAAAAAGGATTACACATTTTATTTTTAAAAAAATCTAAAAAAGGTGAAAACAATGAACTCGTATTTTATCTTACACGTTTGCAGGATACACAACAGTAACTTGTCAGAAGAGGACATCCTCCTATCAGTTCAAAACAACATGGGAAGCCAGGTTACAAGACAGCTCAGACTCTGCTACAGTTGTGTGCTCTCGTCTGGGGAGCAGGCAGCCTTGAGCCCTTACTGGGCAACACCAACTGGTCCCTCGCTTCGACGACATTAACATAAAATAAGGCACATACATCGCAAGAATCGAAACTCTGCAGCTCAAGAGGGTGAGCCAGTGAGTGAGGACCAGGGACAGTCTAATTAGTTCTTTCGAAAACAAAATGGATTGAACGTGCTTAACATGGATGCCAAACAGCAGTACCGTGTATGAGCCTGCATTAAAAAGTAGCCAGAACCCTAGAGAGTTGGTGTTATCTCCCTAAACGCAAGGGACAGGGAAGTGGAGAGAAGATTGGAGGCTGGGGATGGGTACCATCACAGGAGATGCCAAGTCTACAGAGATCCATGTCCAGACGGGTCACTCGTAAGTGGCCCCAAAAGATCTTCCTTACACCAAAAATACACTTTCCTCTTCCACCTCTCCTTTCCTCCATCTTTCTGAGATTTCCATACTGAGAGATGCCAAATACTGAGCTGAAGCATGAGTGTCTCCTGCAAATCTGAAGGCGGGAGCAAAGAAAACAAAGTATGAAGAGAAAAAGATAGGGGGTAACCTGGAGAATCACCAGAAACCAAAGGAAAAACAGAGGCAAAAGGTGACAACCGTGCTCATCCCAGGCTCCATCCATCCTTCCAGGTAGTGGCAAAGGTGACACAGGAAATTATGGCAATTGATAAATGCAGGACACATCTAGGAATGCTAGTGGGGAAAGGATTCAGATGGAGAAGGAAGACAGGGATTTGATTAAGCCACAAGGGCATGCAAGCTCAGACCAGGACCTGGAGATCTTGAGTTCATGGCAAAAACAAGATTCACGGAATGGATTACCGACTTTGTAACCAGATCATGACCTGTTTGAAGAACACAGAAAATGCCTTGATCTTTCCATTGAAAAGTGGTAGAGACTCAACTCTCCTAGCTCACATCACTACTTGTCTTTTGATTTTAGAGTCTGTTCTGAAGTGGATGCTTCCTTTGATTTAAATGTAGGTGTTGCACGGGGGTGGCGGGGGGGAATGGCCGGAGAACCTCAGCATCCCTCTGCTTTCATTTAGTTGAAAGCAAACCAACTGTCTTAGCCGAAGTCCCAAAGGGCAATTTTACTTCCACACTGTGATTCTTGGTCCAAATGAGAGAACATAAACATGAGAAGAATGGGCTGGTCCTAATATTCTTTCTATTTAATACTTTTATTTGATTTTGTCTAATACTAATTTAAATGGCAGGAATAAAGGAGAAAAGCCACAAAATGGACTCATGAATCACTTTGGAAAAATCCAACTCCAGGGTCAAGGGGACAGAATACAGCGGGTAGCCTGAGGTGTCGATGTTTTATTTTCATAGCTTACATATTTTTAAAAGTAAAATGCTGGATAATCCACGTACTCTGTGCACACATAGTATGTCTTTTATGTGTAGCAACTGCACCTAGGGAGTAGCTGCACTTTTTAAATCTTTAAATGTTTTAATCCAAAACAGAAGTCCAGATTAAGTCCACATTAAGGACAAACTGCATACAACACTTAACTTCTTAAATGGATGCATCACTTAATAGATAAGGTACAAAAAAAAGGTATCCACGCAGCTACCCTAGTGCTTTTAAATACTAAAAATATTTGAAGCGATTTATTCCAAATATCTTTGTCTGTGAGCTTTTTTCTTTTACAACCAAGTTTTATAAATCCCCTAAAATAGGGCACTTAGAATAGAAATACTCCTTCACTATAGTGGAATTAACACATGTTAATGACATAGCCAGCTGTGGGGTTAAGTACCTATAAACTCAGAACTAGATATCTAATCAATTCTCAGTTATCTATGAAAATGGGGCAAGAGATGGAACTATCAACAAATATGCAAACCCACAAATATTCCCCAAACAAATTCTCCACGGTAGCTTGAATCTGCAATCCACCTACCTTCTTACCAGAACAGATGAAAGTAACAGCACATGTCTGAGTGTCACCCAGCGCCCTTTCCCGTCTCCCTGGAAGAGCATTGAACATTCACGGACAGAGAGACAGGAGGCAAGGTCGATAACTGAGAACTGTCGTACAGACGTACACACCCTAAGCTCACGTATGGACAGGAAGAATTTTAAACCCCAGTGGTGGGCACACCATTTCATGTGCAAGAGTCCCAAATTTCGACCTGTGTGTATCTGTCTAAAACATGCTCTGAACTCAACTGCGGGCAAGGAGCATCTCAAAAACCTGTGACCTCTGATACAGTACACTCACAAGAGATTCCCAAACTCACTCTCCATGGATTCCCAAACTCACTCTCCATGTTCTGATTCTCGTGCCCAGTGTGGGAATTAAAAAACAAAAGAAACAAAACACGAAAACAAACGTTGAACACATGTAAAGGAAACTGGAAAAACGCTGGAAGTGTAACCCCTGGTCACAAGCACATCAGTTCCTATTTCCTTGGAGTAACAGAGAAACATGTCAAATCCTTTCATATGCCCTCTCTCCAAAAAGAAAGAAAGAACATGCACATCACACATTTACACCGGTTTACTAAAAAAAAGAAGGGGGGGGGCAGGCTTACAGTTTTTAAAAAAAGAGGGTGTTTCGAGCGTAACAATACTGATTCAAAACTGAAATGGAAGACAGTTTCTCCCTAGAATACTTTAGGGTTTTTCAGAGTCCTTTTCCATAAAAGGAATATACTTGAAACACATCCCAGTTAGGTGAGATGAGATTGCTAAAACATATACAGAACTAAAAAAACCAAAAACGAAACAGCCAAAAAAAAAAAAAAAAAAAAAAAAAACCAAAAAAAAAAAAAAAAAAAAGGGTCAATTTAATCTTTTAAACTCCTAAAGTTTCAGGTCTCTTGGCAGTCTTTTTTTTTTTTTTTCTTTTTCCCCCCTAATGCCTACTGCATAACTGCAAGGAATTTGCTTTCTTCCGCGAGGGAGGTCAGCAGAGAACCCATGTCCCCGATTGCCATGTTGGTGGTGCTCAGAGACAGAGCTGGCAACGGGAGGGCAGCACGTGGCGTTGTGAGGCGGGATGAGCTATGAGAAAGGTTCTGAATGATACTTGGGCTCAGGGCTCCTGACATCAGGCTGGCGTGGTCCGCGTCATCTATGATAGCATCGAAATCAATCTGCACCCCTTCCAGGTCATGGCTGTCGAGGCTGTCCACTGTGCTCGTCACCTGGTTAGCACCTGGGGAGAGTAATTCAGAGTTTTCGGCGCTCGCCCCCTGGAGCAGGCAGTTGGCTTCTGACACAGAGAAGGACCCAGTTTTCATGTCTTGCTGACCGAAGCCAATGGTTTGGTCATAGAACTGACCAGAGTAACTCTGCACATTCGAATAGAGCTGATGGGGCTGCCCTGGCATCTCCATCTTGATGCCATTCACCCTGCAGGTCTGACTTGGGTCACTGAGCTGTCCTGGCTGCAGAGTGAGGCCACCCCTCGGCCCAGCCTGGCGCCGGCTGCCCCCGTAACTGGCACACGGCTGGTAGCCCCTGACGGCTGCCAGGCTTGACAGCTGGATGCCGGTGCTGGGCGGCCCTGGCAGGCCGCTTTCTGGCCCTTGACAGACGTGGATATGTGAGGTAGCGCTGCCGTGCCCCAGCATGTGCTGCCCGGGGCGGCCTGCCCCCTGGGGGTGCATGCTGTCACTGAGGAGCTGATGCGCCAGGTACCCCTGTCCCACCGGGTCTGGGCTGGGCATGCCGTTCACCGTGCTGCCAGCTGACTCGTTCGGTGCCACCAACAGGCCAAAATCCGGCTGGCTCCCGCTCCCTTGCATGGGGATGCTTTTCAGCTTTGCTGCCTGGATCCCGGCACCGCAGGCCCCGTCGAGCAAGCCGGGCTGCCGGGCCAGGCAGTTCCCATACTGCTGGGCCTTATAGGGCTGTTCGTGGAAGGCGTTCCCGTTGGTGCCCGCAGCTCCGCCGCCGCCGCCGTGGCTCACCAAGTGCTCCGGGCCCCCGAAGGAGCTGCTGTGCTCCCCGAGGGTCGGATACCCCCCAGCCGGGCCAGCCCCACTCCTCAAGGGATTCTGTGGGTGGACGCCCACGTGGCTGTACAACCCGAAGGCGCGGGCGTGTTGCGCTGTGGACCGCTGGCCGCATTTCAGCTTGGAGGAGGACAGGTCGGCGCTGCCTGAGCTGACTTCGTTCCACTGAATGGGCAGGTCGGATTTACCGGCATCAGTGCAGGGCGGTTCCAGCCCGCGATACTGCTGGCTGGCGTGGCTGGCGTGGCTGCCGGGCAGCCCAAGTGGGTCAAAGTCGCCGGGCCCGCTCCCCAAGCCGGGCCCGTGGGGCACTTTGCTGTCATCAGAGACGGTGCCTGGGAAGTGCTGCCCATACCCGACTGGGTTCTGGGAATTTAAATACTGCACCACGTCGTCGGGCAGGAGATCCTCATCGTTGAGGCCCACATCGGCGTCCATGGCCAGGGACTCCAGGGTGACGTTCTCAGAAATGCTCGGGGGACAGGGAGACGCGTGGAAGTGTCGGGACTGGCCCCCGTCTGGCCGCGTGTAGTTCTGAAGCACTAGATTACGCTTCTCCAGGGATGGAGGCAACACCGGAGGGCTGAAGCTGTTAAGGCTGTTGAATCGCTGCACCCGGGGCAGGGAGAGGCTCTCGGAGGCCGTCCGCACCGGGTCGCTGGCTCTTCTCACGCCGTTGCCCAGCGCATCCTGGGGCAGCAGCGGGCGCCGGCCGTACCCGTGGGCCCCGCCGTCGCTGCATCTCCGGGGAGGATGTACGGGAGGCAGGGTCCCCGCGGGCTCCCTGCCATCGCCCAGCAGGGCCATCCGGGTCTTGAGGCTCATCCTCTCCATGTTGGGCAGCGGGGTGGGCGGCGGACCGCCCGTGGCAGCGGCGTACTTGGCCTTCAGGCGGTACTGCTGGGCGGGCGTGAGGCTGAGCAGGCTGGGCAGGCCGTCGCCCTGGCTGGCCTCGCTGGACCTGCGCGAGGCGTCGGTGGAGATGGGGTCGTAGGAGTCGGCCACGCTCACGTTCTGGGGCCGCCCCTCGGCCTGGGACGCCTCGCTGGACCGGCGGCTGGAGAAGCAGGGCGAGATGCCGGAGGAGCGGCGGCTGCTCAGGTAGGCGGAGCTGATGGTGCTGGCGCTGCTGTCTCTCCGGTTGAGCAGGTTCAGCATGGTGATGTCCACCCCAGAAAGGTCGCTTCTGTTCGGGAGAAGGGGCGGGGGCCCGCCCAGACTGCAGCTGGTACTGGGCTGCGTGCCTGCACAGAAAGCCGGGGAGACAGGGGTTCATTTCAGGATGACTTAACACAGGTGTCGGCGAACAGTGACTCTTTTCGGTTTCCGGGGCCGGGCGGCCTCGGCCATGGTTACCCATCGCTGCCCTGCAGCCAGCACCAAAGGGCCTGGGGACAGTAGTAAAGGGGTGGGTGAGGCTGGGTGCCAATAAAACTTTATTTACAAGAGCAGGTGGGAGCTGTACATGGCCCACGCCTGCTTTAAAGAAAACAGGAACAAACTCCCTGGATGAGTTAAGCTCCTTCACTGGTGTAAAGGCCAAGTGAAGGGTCCCTGGAAGTATATACAGTGCTCAAGTTATAGGAAGTACCAGGGCAGAAGGCATATATGTAAGCTCAGGGCTTCCCCATGACATCCTATGCGGGTGTAGCGCACCTGAGTAGGTAGGTGGGGGAGGTTCACCCTTGGGTTATGCTGCAGATATTGAGTGTAATCTCAGAAGCACAAACTGACTGGGGGCCGACGGTGACAAAGATGGCTTGCCTTTCTCTGAACCGGGCCATCAGTCAAAGTGGCTGCTTACCTCCTGGCTGCAGACTATGGAAGCCAGAGACAGGTGCTAACCCGGGATGCCTCTGCGGCTGGGATTTCCTTCCCCTGGTCTAAGAGGTATGATTTCACCATCAGAATACGAGTCATGCACAGTCTTACTTTTCATTTCAGGATTATCCTCTTACTGCCTGCTTTTAAAACATGGACTCTCCAGAAAGGCAACACTACTATTTATGGTTCCAGCATCATTTTAGGGCTGGTGGGGAAACAAGCAAATGCAAAACCAAGGGCCCGGGTCTGCTTAGTGCTCCGGCTGCCCTTGAAAGAACAGAAAACTCCGCGCGGACACGAGGACTGGCCAGAACTCACCGTTTCCTATGAGAGGAGAGACCGCAGGGGCTTTGGGGGGTAGAATGGGATGCAGTCGCGGAAGCATTCCATTCACTTGTTTGAGTCTTTCTAGCTTGACGTGCTCCATCCATTTGGTCCCTGCCGGGTTCCTCCGGGCTTGCAAAGCGAGGGCTGTGGTTGCAGTGGAAATGGTCGAGTCCATGATTGGGGTTTCGTCGATGGCACTGAGGTCGCCCATACCACCTCCATCGGTTACAGGAAGCTCGAGCCCACTGTTGGAATAGTTGCTGATGGGGGACTGCTGGCTGCTGCATGAAGACTGACCACCAGGGCTTGGCTGAGATGTCTGTGCAGTCAAGAGGAAATGAAAGAAATGTCAGCCAAATGATAAAGGCCAGGGAGCGGATGACGAGAGATCTCGCAGACCAAGTCCTGCGGGATTCTCAGTGGGTGGAATGAGGAGAACTACGTGCCGGTGAGTGGAGGTGGCCTCCCTCAACCTCAGTGACTGCACCGCAGGCGGATGTGCAGCGGAGGGAATGGACAGCGGGGGTGCCGGATATGATGTATCAGCCATGGAACCCTGCCCCAAATGGCAACTCTGCATCACACTTCCTTGTTGGTTCCCACCCCACCTCCATGACTTTATCCTTTGGGCAAATTACTTAGCCACTCTAAACGTCAGTTTGCTTATCCAGAAAATGGGGACAACTTATTTATCCTAGGGATTGTTGTGGGAATTAGGTGTAAAGCCCTGAAAACACACAAAGTTCAAAAAAAAGACCTGGATGACAGTAATTAATTGGCTCGGAGAGCGTTAGCAGTTGTTATTATAATCGCTTTAGTCCTCGGAATATATCTTCCAAGAGCACATGTTAACTCCCCTCCAACCAGCCCTTCTATACTATTCCAGGCTCTTGTAACCTCTCTACTTTCCTTCTACATTTTCTTGCTTTGTAGAACTCCAAGCAGGGTGTAGGTAAAAGCAGTTGTGAGAGGGAAAACTTCAATCACTTAGCTTCTGCTATAGCCAGAGAGGATCTGCATTGCACTAGGAGAATTGGGCCCGGTTTCCCTAACCCCAACCAAGTGCACTGGGTAAGCCAATTCTGCAACTTGATGGGAACTTAATCTGATCCACTGGTTCTCAGGGAAAGAACGCCCTCCACGGGCCCCTGGCCATGGGGTCTGGAAAGCTCACTGTCTCCACATTTGGGAGCCCTCTATAGAATGGCCTGCATTGAGCAGTCCACACAACCTGGAACTGGCCCATCTAAAATTCCAGTGGTGCCCTGGTGGATAAACACTCTCATCCTTTAGGCAGAGATAAGAAAAGTGATGTTCAGAGAAGTTCAGTGACTGCCCAAAGTCACAAAGTGAACATTGTGATGACCTAGACTCCCAGACCCGCCTCACTTCCATGCTCCTGTAGCACCCTCTCCGGTGTTACCTAAAAACTAAAGCCTGACAGCAGCCCAAGAGCAGGGAGAGATAACTACACACACTCCAGTATAGACGGCTGTGGTCTCTGGTGGAACCACAGTGCTGTCAGCAAGGGGTCTGGACACAGTCATGTTCCGTGGAACAGTTTTTCTGAGAACACAGTACATACACCCAAGCAAATGAACACTTTCTAAGCGAGCACCACATGGTACACTAAGCGTGTCCTGGGCAACCAAGCAGAGAAAAATAAGACACACAAATGTGATCATGAATGCATGAAGCCTGTCTTAAGTTTTTGCTTCTGCAGTGTCCTGAAGGGCCAGACCACCTGCTCCTTTGCAGAGAACTTAGATCATCCAGGGCTTTACACTTGGATTGTCAAATCAGCATGTGTGTGTGTGTGTGTATGTGAATCTGTGTGTATGTACACACGCACATGCAGGCTCACACTTCCACAGGGCCCGGAAGAAGGCTCACATGCACCTACAATTAGAAAATGCTTAAAGGAGCGCAGACATTTCAATATAGATTAAATTGCCGACAAGTGTATTCAGATCTTGCTCTAAGAAGGTGGTGCACGTCTGGTCCAAGAATAAATTTACACTAGTCAGTATGACAATTAAATAGTCTTTAAGAACATCTGCTTGGTCGGCCCCAGTGTGATTTATTATGAAAACCTAGACAAACAGAATGATGAATTTCAACATCTAACTCCACAGTTCCACATGCCGAATGTTCAAAACACATCACTTCTATGTTGGAAACATATCTGAGTAATGTCCACTATTAAAAATATCACAAAGGACAAAGACGAAAGAAAAGTGAAACAAATAAAAGTTAAATGTTAAAATGAAAACAAAACAAAGAGAGCAGAGAAGCCAAAATTCCCTCACCTTATTACCCACTGTCCTTAGGAAGTGAGAAGAAGACATTTAGGAGCATTACACAGAAGAGAAGTTGGAATAATAAGAAAAAAAGGAAAAAGAATTTAATTTATAGCATGATGAGCAAATCAAAGACAAGTTTTTGAAGAAAGAATATTAGAAATGTAAATCTCCTGTGCCTTAGTAAATGCCTATGAAGATACCAACTTATATTTACATGTGTGTGTACATATTCATAAAATAGTCTCCCATGGAAATTTGATTAATTTATTAACCTCACTGAGCCTCAGTTTCCACACCGGTAATATAAAGGGTCTAGTCTCAGTCTCTGTGAACTCTTTCCAGCCCTTTGTTTCTATGACTTAATTATTTTATAAAATATTTCACATGTTGGAGAACCTCAGATGTCACTGAGCGAAATCACTGCAAATTTTTTTTTTTTTTGCGGTACACGGGCCTCTCACTGTTGCGGCCTCTCCCGTTGCGGAGCACAGGCTCCGGCCGCGCAGGCTCAGCGGCCATGGCTCACGGGCCCAGCCGCTCCGCGGCATGTGGGATCTTCCCGGACCGGGGCACGAACCCGTGTCCC